AACGGTCCTTTTATTAATTATTCTACGAAAGCCAGGTGGTGTATGCCAGCAATGTTTTAGACATCCTTGTAGTAGATATCCAGCCTGCTTTGGCATAAAGAACAGGCCAGAAATTGCACCATCTAGGTTCCAGTACGTAAGTGTAAATTTAACGTGACTGCGCATAAGCCTGAACTTGCCGTTTATTTCTCCCCATGCAGGTGCGCCAATGGAATGAGGGGTTGTTGGCATAAGATGCCCGCAGAAAATTGGGTTCGTGAGCTGAAGAAAAAGGTCTGATCTTAAAAGGCTATTGTCGCTAGTCAGGATAGCTTATATGATCCCCAAAATAGGAAAGCTCCGCTCTTTTAAGGCAAGTAGCTTGTCACTTAAATCCACAAACGGTAAATATTCCCTTGTCCCGACCTTGACACCCAGACAAAACCTTACCTAAACCTTAATTTTAAGTGTAAATTTACCCACAAATTTCACTATAATTTTAACGCTAGCTCGAATCTTAATCCTACTATTAACCCTTTTCCTGGTTTGAGCATAACCCCTACCCAAAGCTTAGCCCAAAGCTACCTGTCGTACGAACGGTTTCTGTAAGCATACAACCAATGCCTAATTTGGTGCTTGCTAACAGATACCTTGAGTGTTTGCAGAGCAGAGCATAGCTTCTGGGAACGGAAACTGGCTTGACTTGGAAATGTCGAAAAACCAACCTCAGGTGACTAAGGTCACCTTGTTTTTGCGGCTCATTGCCGGGGTATTATAAGCTTTTGATTCGGCAGTAAAACATTTCAGACCACCAAGCACTGTCGCGTAGCGTTGTGACATCTATCCTGGTGATCCATAACTTTATGTGATTCATGCGAAAAAAGTTTAAAAAACAAAAAGGAAACGTACAACGGGTAGGGCGTTTCCGTAGACGAGCGTCTCGATGAAAATTCTTGACAGGAAGGATGGAATGAAGTTCACCAGTCCGTCATACGTGAGCTCTGTAATGGGAAATAATTTGGTCGGCATAACACTTCCTTCACCGCATCTGGCGTTGTGTGCACAAATGACTACCTTATGGACTGCAAGCGGAGAATTGCCCGAGGTTACATGCTTATATGTCTGATGTTTAGAAGACCAAACGGCGTAAAATATAAAACATAGCAAAGCGCAGGTATGAGCTATGAACCTTGAAATAAACATCACGTCCTTACTTCAGTCAGCTTTTTAGAGAAGTGTCTCGAAAAAAGTTTAAGTTCAGGGAATCGTTAAGAGGCTTGGCGGCATGACTACCCTTATGCTCGGGGCAAATTTTAGCGTTAGTTGGGTATATAGCAGGCAAAATTGGTCATTTTTCATGTGAAATCCATCATTATGTTAGTCACAGGCGTATTGCGAGCAAGATTTCCTAGATAATTTGATAAGACAGTGGTTTATACGACCTAGAAATTCGGCCTACCGTTTTACGGACTTAATGTTTCATGTAACGCGGACCGTTCTACTATCTACTGTTCTGTTCGCAAACTTTTGGTCGACTCATGGATGTTTTCAATGATCACGGAAACGGTCGCGGAGATGGATATCTACATTAATCAGATACAGCCTCACAACTATTCAGTTGACAAAAGAAACCAATAGCATCACAGACGATCGGGATACAAAGATAATTTCGAGCCGTTTTCAATTCCTTTATATTTTCCATAATAAAATGAACTCAGCCTTGAGAAATCTCCTGACTGTTTTTAGAATCCAGTTTAAGGAAAACAGGTTTGAAAGCTGTCTGCTCTCTGCGACAGACATTAAGTCAGATGAAAGTCCTAAAAGAAGAAGGCTTAAACAGTTACAAATTATGGTTTATTGGGCATACTAAGTTAGAGGTAAGTAAGCTATCCGTATAGTTTGCGATTCACAGAAATCTGCAGGCCAAACAGTAAAATACAAAGAGGATAACACGGTGACGTTGATACAGGTTTGTCCGGCTCAATCAGAACTCGAAGAATGAAGGCAATCTCATGCATATTATGTAACATAAATACTTTTTTGATACGGTCATATTGTGCGGTCTTTTAACTATTTTTGGAATTTATCTGCTCCAATAAAATGTGAGTTGAATGAAAACTGTTTGCAAAATTAATTGGTTTAGGTCTAAGGACTCAGAATAACAGGAATCAGGAAGATACAAAGATAGTAGCAGGAGAGTAGATAAGACTGTTCGGCACTTTTCTTCGAGCATTTTATAGGCCATCAAGGCATTGCTCTGTTTTCATATACTTTTAAATATCAATTTATTAAATGCAAGGATTTCTCCCTGTTCCGAGGATGTTCGTTACGCTTTACAGAGTACGGCTCAGAAATCGTGCAACATGCCGGCATTTGCAAAAGATTGATACACACTCGCTAATCGCCATTGAGTAAGTTTGTAATACTAATTATCGTATAGCGTATTCTTAAGTAATTTCAGTCAAAATAGGATGCCGGCTTGCAATGGAGCTGCCTTTCTGACCGCTCACAAACAGTAGTTAATGTAAAAATGGCTAATTATGTAGTATGCTTTTTTATCATTGATGTTGACTGCCTTTATAAATTCAAATATATTTTATGGAAAACATGCATGAAAATATTCTCTCGTATAATCGTTTGGTACTGAATTGCACCTTCTTTAAATGTTATACTTAGTGAGTAGGGTATCATTCGATTTTTAAAAAATTTCCAAACTGCCGAATAATTTTGAAATCTATTGCTACACTTGAATTCAAATTTTAAACACTACGCGCTCTGTACATTCTGTTTAAGGAAAGTTACGTTTTTGTCTACGGTTTGAGGAAGGAGTCGCACAGTTCTCATATAATGTCGCAATAGATGTGGACCAGGGTCTATACGTCATAAGCAGCATTAATAAATTTAAGGACACGAGCTATTCTAAATGAAAAGCTCACAATCGTAAGAAATTTCATAAAGCGATTTTTTTCAAAAACCTGTGGTTTCGCTTTCCTTATGAATAAAATTTAAAGAAGGCATAATTTTCTACCAAAAGAGTACAAAAAAGAATAGTTTCGTGCATTTTTCCATAAAATATATTTTAATTTATAAAGGCAGTCAAAATCAATAAAAATGCAATCTACTAAAGTAGCCATTTTTTACAGTACATACTTTCCATCAGTGGTCAGAAGAAAGCTCATTAAAAAGCCGGCAACCTATTGTGACTGAAACTATTAGAGAATAGGCTACATGATAATTAGTATTACAGCCTTACTCAATGGCGTTAAGCGAGTGAGTATGAATCTTTCGCAAATGTCGGCCTGTTACACGAATTCTGAGCCGAAATGTATAATGGCAGATTGCAATGTTTGAGTGGATATTCTAGTATGGGTGTTGTACGACTTTCTGTTAAGCGGATTCACACAGCCTGACATATCTTCTTTCTAAATGACAAAAAAAGCAAAGGCACACTGTCAAATGATGGATTCCGTGGTCGTCTTATAGCGAACTCGTTGAAAATGCCAGACCAAGATATCTTGTCAAGAGCAAGGACACCCACAAAAATACTCTGTCGGTACCCTTCATGACTGATATAAAATAAGTAACTATTGGCATACTTAAGTTGACAAGGTGACACGTACCAGGTAGGTACACCACACATTCCAGATTTAGGATCAATCCAATCCCACCCAGAACTGTATCGATTAATCATGCATGTCAGTACTATGGTGGAGGCGTATTTTATTGCATTTTTTGAGGTCATTGACTGAGTGCAATTCTCAGAGCGTACTTCCGTTTGAGCACAGATTACCTGCGACTTTGTTTAATATTTTACTCTTTTCCATAAGTAGATTCTTCACTGAAAAGCATTTCGTTCTACCATATTTCATGTTGAATGCTAGTCTCCTGCAACTACTTGTGTGTACGACAGTGCCATCCAGAGAACTGTAGATAAGCACAACCGTCGGTGTTCAGTTAGATGAAAGAAAATGACATCAACCAAACAAAGTTTCCCGTCAAGTGTTTAATGCAGAAACAACGAAGAAGAACATAGATGTGGGAAGTACTTTGAAATTTGTCGTGAAGCAGCAAATGGACCTACTACATTTAGAGACAAACTGTTGCTTGCACGGATGAGGACTGTCAGTCTCTTGAATTTGTCATATTTTGGAGATGTGTTCAGTATGATAGAACGGAGCTAAGTAGTCCTGCAACGCGTTGTGCGATTTATCAAATACTTTAAACATGTCTATTTTTCAACATTTGTGCTCGTTAGTCAAACCAGGTTTGACTACTAACTGCGTAAGCAGAACTTATTGATCGTAAAGTGAAAGGGGGGGGTCAAAAAACAGCATTTCAAGGCTCGATTTCACAGAGGATACAGACCACTGACAGAGAAAAAGAGAACTCGATCGCTGGGACAATACTTTATTCGCCTGACGTTTCGAAATCCGTCGCGGATTCATCATCAGAGACATTAGCATAAAACGGTAGCAGAAGCGGGTCTGTTACCATCTTATGCTAATGTCCCTGATGATGAATCCGCGACGGATGTCGAAATGCCAGGCGAATAAAAGGATTGTCCCAGCGATCCAGTTGTCTTCTTCTCAATTACTTCCTGGGACTCGTATGTTCGCTTGTATTGGCAGACCATTGGTATATGTGAATTCAAAAATGCCAGTGAGATAACTAGCAACTATTCAGCATAATAGCAAACTGCAAAAACAGTTTCTTTTGGATGTTAAGACTGGGAGCTATTTTTTTTCAATAGGAGGGAACTGTTGAAGCAGCGTTATCATGTTTTTATTTATGCATCACGATAATTCCATGAAAATAGAACGATGAAAGCTTATCCATCCACAGTTTTCACAAGCTAAAATAAGGATCAAGACACTCGGAAAAAGTAGCACTTTAAGACTGTGCTTTAAGTTCCAAAGGAGAACTCTTACACTAACCACTAAAGCACACGGTAGCTGCAGCGAATCAAGAAAAGTTTTGTTTCTAACTACTCTAGAAATGTGACACTCTAAAATCAAAATTTTGAAGAAAACTTGCCGTGTAGTCTTTAAATTTGCTACTACTATATTAAGAAATATGCGCTATGGCTTCATAGACTACAGCCGAAACAAAAACAACCTTATCTATGATGTGAAATTTTGGGCGTGTTAAAATTGGCGCAGACGTAAAAGACCGAAGAGTGAAGACTGTTTACTATACTCTTCTGACGTACTCGCTAACTGTACCCTTTGACTTAGGTAGGTTTGAAAAACAGCATGTTTAAGACATCGGGCCGACTGATGATATGTAGATCAACTATGCTTAGCAAACGTGCACTTCAAGAGCTAGATATATTTGCACTTAAATGGGTTTCCATTTTTCTCTCAGTGTCTCGGACATCCTAATAACAGTGCACCAGTAGAATTGGCAAGCTTTCGGCATGTGACTCAGTCGTAGACCAGACTAGACTAGGTTGCAAAACTCTGCCCCACCGACCTACGGCTGGGGCATGAGCAAATGGCGACAGCAAACAACTACGATATACACAGATCTTCTGTGTAATCCTTTCCGACGCGTTTTCTGTTTTCCCTTGTAGGCTGCCCTTCTCGCCACCATGAGCCTCAAATGTGCCAAACGTTATTTTGCGACGGTTCACTTGCCACCATGCAAAACACAGCCCATTGCGTCAAATAAAGAGATTATGCAACAGCAGAAAACTGAGATAATGATGCGAGGCTAGAGGCAGCCAGTTGCGTCATAATTTTAGAGCAGACAGCCCGGAGGTTACATAAAATGCTTAGTCAAAGTTTGAGGTAACCTAAGGATTGGTAACTCGCTCTAGATATTCCTGTCTTCGTCTAACATACAAACTACAGAAAAGTAGAAAAAATGGTATTGGAGAAAACGGATTCCACGAACATTCAATAGCGCTAGAACGTACCTATCTACACTCAGGCAGTTAGACATAGAGCACGGGACCTATATGATGCAAACTGACGACAGTTACGAATAGCTGATAGTCCCTGGTAAACCGGTAGTAATGCATGTCAGACAACTTGGAAATAGTAATAAACGATCCTAGACGAATTTAAAACTTAAAGAAACTATTAAAGTGTTAATAGTTTGCTTAGATATAGCAAACGTTTAAGGGAGCCTTAAGTTACGAAAGAGCGCGAATTCACCGTTTCTGTGACCCATAAAAGAACAAAGCCTTCAATTTCGATGTGGCAATTTTTTCCAGTAGGGAAATGCATGGGTCGAATGACCCGCCCTCTTGCAAATCAGGATACTGTTAAATAAATTGTACCATCGAATCGGTAAAGGTTATTGTCTGAATTTAATTTGATAGCAACCAGCTAAAAATTATTTGCGACGGTTCACGTGCCATCGTGTACCGTATGACGATTGCGTCATACGATGCTGACTTATGCAACGGTAGAAAGTTGACATCATGATGTGAGGATAAAGGCATTAAAGCGCATCATAGCTTTAGAGCAAATAATGGAAAGGGCACCGTTAATATTATGCTATAGGGCTAACCTGGATCCCACATTCAAGCAGACAACATGTATACCCTAAGGCATTTTTCGGATTCTCGTTCATACTGCCGTATCCTCCTTTTTAGAGCTGATTTCTTCCATTGCAAAACATAACTTTAAGCAGACGCATTCTGAATCTGATTATACTTCAGGTTTCCGACGAGCATACAATAGGTATTTACAACTATCCACCATACTGACAACACACGCACCAACTGAAAGCCCAGACATGTGCCTTCCTCCGGCCGTGCAGCACTGATAAACGCAACTGTGAGGGTTTCAGCTCATCAGTGGGTACCCAGCGTTTCCTGCGTTTTCTTTCCGCGGGTATCTGAACTCCACTTGTGGCCCAGTTTGTTTAATTGCCGAGGAACTTAAGGCGCGAACTTGGAGTAAATGCTTTAGAATGGACATTTTCCGGCTCGTTCCGAAACTTGTTATGGACATGTGAGCCGAATTTCATCAGCTACAGCCTAAAACTGGTATTCTTTAGGCAAAAACCACACGGGAACGTTGAGCGGCCCACTGAGTATCCGAACACCTTGCAGCTGCCTTAGTCAGCGGTACAAGATCGGCGAACCAGGCGTGTCCGGACACTGATCTAATACCTGTGCGGCCTGTTCGGTAAATAATTACGCGGTGTATCCTACCAACTGCCTGTTGCCTTTTTGTAAATATTACGCGACTATACAACAGAAGTTGATAAAGTTCAGCTCAAATATTTAGTAAATGTACACGACCGCTAATGGAACTCATCTGTCCCGCTCAGCTGCCTCATCAGCGTGCGTCAAGATCCTCCGACCCAAACGGACAAGACAAGTAGCTAGCAGTTTACTGGTTAGGGTGTTTGGCTCTCATCAAAAGGGTCGCGAGTTCGAGGCTCGGGTGGGAAGCCACTTGGGTCTGGTTATGGCTGTCTGACGACGACTAATAAGACATTGCCGTCTCCTTTGTCTTTGTCGGCAATACTATCTGCCTATATTTACAGCGAGTTTTCAAAACGAACCTGAAGAGCTCTGTTCCGAGGGATTTACTCCAGACTCATGCGTTAATTTCCTCGGAAATTCAGTACTAGAAAGCATTCAAACGGACTAAATGACTAACAGACTATGCATATGAATGTGTATCGAACTCTCGCGAGCATACTTCGGCTAAAACAACCTCAACGTGCGAGCTAACTGTTGTCGTGCAGCAAGCAGAGAGGATCAGATGCCAGGTGGTTTCTAGCCGAAAAACGGTTTTGTCTAGACTGGACCAACTGCTTACAATTTAAACCCCTTCCTCTGCTTCAGCGTGGACATGTATATTTCAAGATGCTATTTACGATACGAATATTGGGTACATAGTTGACACACACACACACACTGTCAGCATACAGCGACCTTAAATTTGCATAAACAGTGCTTCGAAGTAAAAGGACGCCCTGCACTGCGCCATTACAAGCAGTAGTTAGAAATGTGGCGCGTCAGCTGACAAGGCAGCGGTTTTGCCAGTGCAGGACGACGCTAAAATGCATTAAAAAAACAACGCGGATCAATGACAGTAATATTTAGGGCGTTCGCACGTCGGTGAATTACGCAACGAACGGTAGCACTACAGTAAAGCTGCAGTCGAGTGACAATACAGCATGACAAATAGTTCGCATGATGACAAACACATGTGAAACAGAGGGCTCAGTAAATGGCGGGCGTGCGAACTCACCTTTTAGGGCAGCCTGCCGCTCAGAAAAAGTCCATACACGGTCATAGATGACCGATGCTAGGTGGCCATCCGCCTGCTCGTAGGTTGTAAGTGTAGCAAAGTTATTCACACGCTGCTCCAGCTCAGCCAGTAGACAAGCGAATCTGTTTTCGTCAGGCTTCCGGAAGCTCAAAATTTGGTAAAGAATTTTGTCGACGAATAGGGGCATCTTGTGATTGAAACCACTGAAGGTCATCTAAAGATTTCAAAAAACAGTATACTGAGATCCATGCCTGGGACCGTTTAGAGCCTCACACAGTTAATACACAGGAGCGTAAGAGTATAAGTTAACTTCGCGACTCCATTCTTAAGACAGAAGCCCTGTGATTGGCGCACCAATACATGACTATCAGGCAAACGTAACCACGATGACTGCGTTCCACAGGACCTGGCAGTTGATACTATCTAATTACTCCTACGAGAGAAATACAACGAAACGGAGAATCGCCTCGGGCACGCCCAAATCCTCCAGCTCCTTAAATACTGTCTCAAGACGTACTTTACCTTCAACGGAACTATCTACGAGCAGGTGAAGGGCACGCCCATGGCTTCATCCATTACCGGACTCATAGCCGAGGCGGCCCTGCAACGGTTGGAGACGCCGATTTTCTGACTCCACAGACCGAAATTCTGGGCTCAATATTTGGAGGACGCCTTGGTCGTAATTGAGCGGGGTCAGGTGTTGAAATTCAAGGAACGTCTAGAAGCTGTCTTCCCGGACATTCAGTTTATGATGGAGGAAGAAGAAAACAACCAACTAGCCTTCCTGGATGTCCTCGTTTGCTGCAAAAACGGTGGTGGCCTAAAAACTAAAGTGTTTAGGAAAGCGACCAACACTATACAAGTACTGAACTTCAACTTCAACCCGATCGATCACAAACACAGCCGCGAAAGAGCGCTATACCGGCGCGTTGGGATGCACTGTAGCTGAACTACAATATTTACTATGGTAAATGGTATGGTAAGTTACAACGTCAATTTATACTACTAACGACTTTCTGATGGCAG